GGGTGGGGATTGAGGCTGAGTGAAAACCGCTTACCAGCTTCTCTCGGAGCTTCAGCACCAGGTCCACCGCCTCCGCCTCGGACTTGTCCACCATCCAGGCCCTGACATTCTGAGGGAAGAGGAGCAGAGGAGGGGCCCCTCCTGCGTGCCCATGCAGCAGCGCCCGCCCTGGACCCTGAGCCTGCTTCACCCCCTCAACCCCCCTCCCCGCTGCTCTAGAGCCTTGACCTGCAGCGAGTGGACTGAGGCGGGTGTGTGTGTGTGTGAGAGAGAGACCCATTCAAAGGTGCCCCCACCAACAGTCTTCCCACCCACCGCTTCAGCGATGGCCTCCAGGTGGAGAGCTTCCAGCTTCTGCCTCATCTCTTGGTGCCTCTGGCGAAACCAGCCGTCGAAGTTGGGCGACTTAAAGAATCGCCTGGGGGAGAGGAGGGGGTGTCAGTCCGGAGGAGCCTCACCCAGGACGGGCTTGGCCAGGTTTCGGTGGCAGGAGCCCACTTAGGCTGGTTCTAAAGAGCGTCATGCAACCTGCTGGTGGCTGCGTAGTGCAGAGCCCGGCTCTTCTGTGGCACGAGGCCTTGGCTTAAAAGGGCAAATCTCTCCCAAGGGAGCATCTGGGTCACTGCCCCAGGTGGGGGTGGGATTAGGGACCAAGACGGGGGTGTCCTGCCTGGGGGGGGGGTTGCTCTGTGCCCACAGGTCCGGCTCTTGGGCTTCAGGGGCTCTGAAGGGGGCGTGACTTGCCTACCTGTACAGGGCCAGCCAGTCGCCCTTGAGCACACAGGTGAGCTGGGGCCCGGCCTGGTCCAAGCTCTTCAGGAAGTCTTCCTGGTGGAAAGGGCGGATCCGAGGGGGAGTCTAGGGAGAGGGAGGGAGGCAGAAACCGGGCAGCCAGAGAGCGGGGCCCACTCCAGCACAGGGGAGCCGGGAAAGGCCTCACCTTCCACGGGGTGATGGTCCTTTGCAGAGGCATCAGGCTTGCCATGTAATGCTCCTAGGGAGGAGGCGGCAGGTGGGAGTCGGCTGGGGGAGGAGCTTCCCAGGGGGCAAGGACAGTGGGGAGCTGTGGCTCCTCCCCCCCCCCCCACTTACCAGGGGGATGATGAAGCTCTGGGTGAGCTCCAAGAGCTGGCGCCTCAGCAGGGCGCTCTGGGCCTCGGACGGGCGCTGCTTCTGGGTGCCCTGTGGAGCACAGCCAGAGGTCAGCCAAGATCCACCACCCCTGCCCTCCCCCCCCC